GCGCGCGTAGACCGTTGGAGCGGTCGCGGTAGCGTAGGCTACGCGCTGGTGGCCGCGCTTACACGCGAACAAATGACTCGACGTGCATCGAAGGACATTAACGCTGCCGCCTAGCGCGTAGCCTTCGCTACCGCGGCCACTCGAACGGTCTACGCGCGCTCTGATTGGTCGGGGTTTTCGCTTAATATCTCCTTAACGAAGCCCCATCCGACATTTTTGCAAAGGAAATTGTTGTTCAGAATCGTCTCAGCTACCCCCCATTTCCGGCTCCTCCTCGAGTTTTGGGACATCCTGTATATTTCTTTCAAACCGACTGCTACAAATATTATTAAAAGTATTAATATTTGTACATTTATTAATAATTGCAATTGAAGAAGAATCGGTTCTTAATCATTTAAAAACAAATGCACAATGAGTCGAAAGGTTGCATATCTTCAGGGATTATTCTAGTTCGTACATATTATCGCAATACCATTATATACCATTTATCGGTCATGTTTATGTCACTACCAGCATTATCGATAGAGACTAGACTGCAGTGCTCCAGCGGCCAGAAATAAAACTAAATAAATTTCCTTAATGAATTTATTTTGGAGTTTGGAAAATGTAATTTACAATGAATAGTTATATATGCAGTTTTAAGTCTCTCTTATAAATTTAGCAGCAGCGTACAAGTTTTTCAAAATACCTAACTTTCCTGTGGTTGGTAACTGAATTGGAAACGATTCGTGGTCATCATTCTGAAATCTAGAGAGCGCTAAGAAACCACTGATATTTTACAGAACCGATACTATAGTTTAAAAACTTACAGTGCAATAAACTATTTGAATTTGTTATATAAGTCCTATGTGATTATAATACATGTGTGCCCTTATCAGAATACAGTAAACAACAGTAAGATGATACTTAATATGAAACCACAATTCAAAAGCCATGAAAATCATTGCTTAGTAACAATTAACAATGCACATACCTAAGATACAGTATGAAAACACAAAATATGCATTTGAACGTGTATTATTAAATTTAACTCTATCGCACAACAAAAAAAAAAAAAAACAAATGACGAAAAACGTGTTTGAAATGGTATTCGTTTTTAAAATACGTGTTGTTAGTTGTATAGTGGCCTTGCCGAAATGCAACTTGAACAGGAGAAAGCTCAGGACTTCCGGCTACCATTCTGCTCCGAGATTTCGTGTGGTGGCATAGTAATTTTGGGCGTGAGAACTTGCTGCGTCGAATAGGCCACGCTGTATCGCTAAATGACCAACATCTGGAAGTGATTTTCATGTCGTAAAATCTCGCTGGCTACCTGCCGACCGTGCAAAACTTTACGCGTATCGTTAAAAATACAACCGTAACGAGAATTTTCGAAGACGTTGCTGTTATTTGCATACGAATACACTAACAGAAGAATAAATAAACAATCGTTTTCTATACCGCATGGATTATGAAAATAATTAAAGGGACATACTCTCAGCCATGCAAGATAGTTTGTATACTACGATCTCATGGAAAATTATCTTAAATAATTAGTATTTTAGACATTTTAGTTACTTGACATTAAATATGTTACATTATCAATAGAAAAAGTGTTGTTAGTATTGTTTAAAAATTTCCTATTACATAGCCAATTTTTACATTAAAGAAAAACTTAAATGTTAAAGCTTCGTAACATTTCATCATCGAATTTAATTAAAATTATGAACAATATAAAACAATCCTAATGTCTAATGTCATTGAATTTATTCGTCAACCACCTTCTACGTCATTGTTTAAATTTAAAAATGTTATATACTCCAAATCAATTCTCGAACATAAGGAACATATTGTAATATTGTTACTTCTTCGATAAAATTGACATTCTTTAAACAATCTTACTTTTTTCCGCAGAAATGCGATAACTTACTCGGCCATTTATTCCAACGCTCATTTTGAAAACGTTTGACCGAGGATAGCGAAGAGGATTCGGAAGAATTTACGCGGAGGACTGCGGAAACTTACCCTTGGGCCTCCGAGGGACCAAAAAGAGTGCGGATAAACACACGCACACACATGTTTCCGCAAACTCGTGCACGTCGGTGCGGGGCGTTCGTATACCTGAGCAGGTCGTCAAGGTGCGCAGGAGCATTAAAAAGAGAAACCTGGTAAGAGAGGAACGTCGACGAAGAGAGGCGGTATAGAAGACATGTTCTGCCCGTTTAAATCCGCGAGAAGAAGAGAGAGGAACGCGTTTGTATGGGTGAAACGATGGAGGGGATAGTTCTACACACTCGACGACAGGCGTGGCCACGAGATCACCAAGCCGACCAATCGGAGCGGGAGGCGTTATTTCGATGTGTAACAATGCTTTTGGTAATGCATCGTTCAGTGGCTCTCAACTTTCATTGCGTAAACGCAGAAAATCACTGCGTTCGTTCCAGAGATGCACATCATATTCTAATATAGGCAGCTCTATTTACAAACGAGTTTGTGATCATGATGTTGTTCTTTGGATGCATTTTGAGCTTGCAATATTAGTTTTTTCTTTTCCTCAAAAATCTCATCTGGGATGCTAGATAGTCATAGAAAACTACCACTTTAATAGATTGTATTATACACCTGCGATTGGGAAAATTGCCAGTGAGAAATTGATTGAAAAGCTGCAACAACTTCTTGTAAATATTCTGGAGTGAACACATTTTATTAACAGTTTCTCTCATCAGAGTTGAATTATACTATTCAAGGTTTTGGGCAAAATCTTGAATAACAAAGTAGACGTAATTTTTATTGTTTTGGAGGCATTCGAGAAAAGTTTCCTCTAATGTTTCCAGCCCCAAGTGTGGAACCCTTCAAAGAAGAAATAAACTACTACAGGAACAGAAAATACAATTTCATTTACAGATAAGTATTCTGAATTCCCAATTTCAATTGCTCGTGAGAGCGACCAATAATGTATAATATATCAAAACTCAAATGTGTCTTTGATTTTTTTTGTTAAATTGGCACGACCTATCTGTGCAACTCAATATTATGTAAGAAACCGTGAAAACAAAATGAATTTTAGCTTTGAAAACGTTTTTCGCCAGGATGGTGCTCCAAAATTCTATAGGAAGATAGAAGTTGGAAGAATGGAAGGATGTAATGCATCACTGGCGAAAGGGGGTCTACCGTACCGCCTACGTTAGAAATCATCGACACGGGCGCAGCTCGCGAGGTAATGCGGCTGCGTTTGTGCCACTGAAGCTTTTCCAGGATCGCGATCCAGGGTTAGGCGGGAGGCCAGGAAAGGTGGGAGAGAAAGGGAGGCGCTGACCGTGCGAGAAAGATGGCAGAAAGGGTAGCAGGTCGGAGGAGCGTTGCTTCACGCTCGGTGGGGAGTCCAACGTGCACCGTGCATCCAGTTGTATACCTAAATGCGTACCCGGCGCTGTTTTAATAGTACACACGTGCAGTCGCGGCCCAATGAATTGATCCCGCGAGGTGAATCCCCCCAGGGATGAAAAAGATGTCGCGCCATCTTTGAGGGCACCCCCGGAGGGCCAGCGCGCGCAATTTTCATCCGCGGACCGTCAGACGCCGCGCTCACAATTTTTCGGAGCTGACTCGCGAATTAGGGGTCCGTACGCGTCCCACGGACCAGCTTTTCGAACCTCGAAACTTCGGGAAAGACTCCGAAAGTGATACTTGTCAAATTCATTTTTGTTGTTTTTTTTTTTTGTAGCTCTCTGGGAAGACTCTGAAAGTGAAACTTGTTAGATCGATTTCTGTATATTTCAACGGACTCTGAAAGTGGAATTCGTTGAATTAATTTGTATAGCTTTGGGAAGACGACGAATTCATTTTTATAAATTTGCGAGGACTCCGAAAGTGAAACTTGTTACGTTCTTTACTGGAGCATTGAGGACACCTCAGCGAATTAATTTTCGTAGCTCACGGGGGTTACGAACGTGAAATTTGTCAAATTGAATTTTTTAGCTTCGAGAAGGCTTTGAAAGCAGTACTTATCGAATCGGTATTTGTAGCTCTGAGAAAGTTCTGAAAGTGAAACTCATTTTTGTAGCCTATTGAAGACTTTAAAAGTGAAACTTACAAAAATTAATTTCTGTAGCTTCGAGTGGAGTCAAAGAACCAAAAATTTATCTTCCAGTGTCGTTTATTAACTTCCTGACGATTGAAATTTTGATCACACCTGGAACCACGAAGAGAATCGTAAAAATTCTGAGATGATCATTAAATGAAGTAATCGAAGTTTTCCAGTTGTCGTTTAATATCTGGAAAGTTAAACCTCGGCGCAGTACCTTCCCACGCTCGTCATCTATGAAATTCGTTAAGAATATTTATCAATAAAATGTCGATCCAAGCTGCACGCACTGTACGAGAAAATGTGTGTGTCATTGGGTGCGTCGAAGTTCCGTCGGACTGGTGTGAAGTGCGAGACGGGAAGTGAGAAATAGTTCTACAGGAGATAAAGAAACGAACTGAAGTGCAAAAGTTGTGAGTCGTACATTTTTTTTTTCTATTTCTTCTTTTATCAGTAAGTCGGTGAACTTTTATTCCGAGAACATACTACTTGAAATAGCTGACAATCACTCTTTATCGACCCTAGCTTGCCTTCCAAACATTAATGACATTTATGGCACTTGACTGAATTGCACAAGTTGTGATACATATTCTTATTTTTATTTTTCTTACGTCAACAAATAAATGGACTTTTTTCGAGAGTATATTATTTGATGTAACGATGAACGTTCGTAGGCGATGATTGTTTAATTTCCAAATAATTGATGACACTTGTGGTATAGGACGGTGGTTGTGTGAGATGAAAATTACGAAGGACGATGTAGTCGACGGTAGTTAATCAACATGATAACAATAATGGTAATCGATGGGATTCCGTGAACGTCCGAAGTGTGTCAAGTACCGACGGCTTGATAAAAGTGCGCGTCCCTTGGGAAGTTCCTGCCGCCGAAATCACTTTCGCACCGAGGGGGAAGGCTAATTGGTCCTCACCCTAGTGAAATGCCTACGAGGGCATGAATTTAGCCAAAGGTTCGTACAATTCGCGCATCTAAATCCTTCCAAGCACCCAATCCTGTTACCGATGTTTTATAATATGATATAAGCGATGACACTTAATAAATTGAGTGTCTTCTTGTGTAAAAGTCAACGTGGATTCGCAAAACAAACGTACAATAACGTGAATAATTATTTGAAGGTGGATAGAAGGGGCTTGAAACAGTATTGGTTGTAATGGGGGCTTCAACGAGGTATGAAAATTTGTCATAAAAAATTTGTGCTATAAATTATTGTATTTGTCACAGTTTTTGAAACGTTTATTTGCTTCTTCTAAGGAAGATGCAGTTTTTACTTGAACTCTTTCTACCAGACATCAAATACTTACAGGTCATAGGGAAGATGCTTAATCCTACTTAATCAGTTTGAATTTGTATCTATTTTCATTGAAATAATTCATCCCTGACACAATATGCTCGGAGCAGCACATGAGTTTAATGTTCCATCACGAAATTATTAAAAAATTCATGTTTCGTTTCGAGTAAAATTTTCCACGAATCGTCTCCGATGAATCCGATGCATCGTTCCGACGTATCGATGCATATCTTCTATCGTGCGAAAAGGGGAAACCAAACAGTAAAACATCTAACGATTGATGGCGTCAATCGTCCTCGATCGACTTGTTAAAACCCAGTCATTTAAATGCACAGGTGTAATTTGAACCGATAGTTCGGATGCTGGCAAATTGTTCGTCTATAACCATCGAATGTATCCAAATGTATTACGTTACGGTACCCGCATAGGATCCCATGGGAGACTTGAGGACCATTCTCGCCCCTTTTCAGGAAACTTCGCTGAGAAACAGCGTCATATATCGAAGGATCTTCCTTTTAAACTCTTCATTGATGTCGATTTATTGCTTACTACGAACACCAAGTATGGACTAAAATTTTCGAAGACTGAAAACAAAATTCAGTTCTGAATTGGATTTATCAGTCAGTTGGGTATTGTTTGTTGTCCATTGCTAAATATTTCAATAATAATATAATTGATCCTCAAGATGTTTTGGAAAATTCTAAAATTTCTACAGTGGAAAGATTGGGTATTTCTGAGACCACTGACGTATTCGACTAAAAATTCACAATTCATTATTGCACTGAACCAACCCTACATTTTGTTTAGGAAATCGATCTATCATTTATCACAGGAGGTCCTGTTTCCTGTTAATCCTTTAGCCAAGAAAAGGGGTCTGTGACGCAAGAGTTTATTTTGTACTTTTTGCTTTCTAGATAAATGGACAGACATACTGTTTCAAAAGTTGATCGAGTTTTGGAACTGTAACAGTTTACGTGAAATTAATTTTCAAATTCCACGAGTGTGCGTTGAAATAATATACAGAACTTAAAGTGTCATCATATAGAGTACAGATATTTTACAATCACAGATCCTTCAGAAAACCCTGCTCCAATTCTCATCACAGACACCATAGTCACACGACCCTACGCCCACGTCTCGAATTCATCATAATTAAGGAACGATTTGTAACCAAAGCAAAAAAAAAGAAGATTCAAACGAGTCAAAGACTTGAACCTCGATACCTACGCGTGACGAATGATGCGCAGTTACCCCAAAAAAAGATTTTGAAAACACACAGCGACTGTTTGGAGCGGGCTGAGAAAAAGAGGAAGTGGCGAAGATTTAACGCTGTCGCGACAGCTGCTCCGAGACATAAGTCTCAGTTGTTCCGTGGCCCACGGAAGGGTACCGTCCAGGACACGAAAAAGGATCACGTTCAGGGGCCGGACACTTTCCCTACAAATGACTTTAGGAAACGACACGCCCCATCGCGGCTGCCGCGGCACGTATCACACGCGTCTCTTATTTACTTTCCCGCAGACGCGCCAAAAACGAATTCCTTGCGTCCCATTGCAACCCCACGTCTATAACTTGAAATAGGTGACGATCGTCGTTTGTCGCCAGGAAAATCGAGGGCTAACCTCCGTTTCAACCCCTTTCGCCCTCGAGGCGGGAATGTTTTCGTAACGTCGGGATACTTAAGCGATTAGAGTTAACGTCGGACGAACGTGAAAACCGACACGCGTGGCTCGTAACGTGTTAATTTATCGCGCGTGTATCGCGTTCGCCGATTTATCGATGGAGCCTCGAGCGTGAACGGTGGAACTGGTGAGGTAATTGCACCAGGAGGCGATAAGAGAGTCGATAATGGACAGTTTTTTTGAAAGAAAGCAACGATTATCATTGTTAGGAGGGTTAATTAGAAAGGCACTTAAGAAGAAAAGAATTCTTTTGGTAAGAGAGTCCTATAGTGATAGGTTTGTGTCCGTGTGCGCAATTGCTTGCTTTATATTCTTCTTTAGTTTACGATTGGACCTGAGTTTGAATGTTTGGGAAAAGATTGAGTTAAAAGCCAAATCAGTATACTTTCAAATGCACTTGTCACAAATGAAGCTTGTAGTACACTGTTGAACTTCTCGAGTATAGAATGAGTTATGAATCGATACGTTTTTCTTCGAATAAGGACAATCCGAAAACGAAACGTTTCGAGTAGCTAATAATACTAAGATTGTAGAGCGTATGGCAATCACTGTACCAAGTGCACGAGTGCGTAGCATGCAACATCCTGGCACGTGCGTAAACAGTTCTTAGGTAACTCTGACGTACAGCTTCAAAACGTCGCCGAAAATACTCCCATTCTTTGAGAAAAATTCATAGAAATCTATGTTATAGAATTATAATAGTAGTTAAATTGTCATTCGAGTAAGCATGCAACACACAGTAGATTTCTCTATTCCTTTAAACATATTTGTAGAAACATTAAAAATGTTCAATTGCAAGGAATATAAGAAAACTAAGAAACTTACTTTTCAAGAATATCATATTGCTATATAAGAATGTCTCAGGCCTGAATTAGATATAATGGCATGTCAATCGCAGGGTTTCCCTAATTTTCCTGCAAATCCTTCGCTCGTTATTGGTCGATTCTCGTCGAATCTAAAATTAGCAGCGCGCTACAAATTTATTTAGTCTCGCGCTGCTGCGCTCGCATCGGAAAACAAATCAAATTTGTCGACGTCGTTAAATTAAGCAGCGGCCGTTCGACGCCCGGGGACCTGGACGGCAAACACACGGAGGCCCATAAACCGCGTTCCAACACAAATCACCCTCGTGGAGGAGTTACTGACGTCACTGATCGTCGACGAACTCTTAAGGTTCGTTTTCACTTGGAAATTAAATCGCGATTTTTAAAACGTACAGTTGCGACTAACCTTGCCACCGAAAAAACAGGTTGATTCGGAGGAATTTTTATAATGAAAACTGTGCAACAGGAAATGCTTACATTCAGATATTTGAATTTGAATGAATGCACTTTATAGTGAGTCTTGAAAAGTTTGTATTGCGGAAAATTGGAAAATGGCGTCGCATCAGACTTTTTTGCAGCGCAGCAATGAAAGAGAATATATTATTTATATTATACTGATGTCTTAATCATAATTGGGATGTCATGACAATGCAACGATGACAAATGTCACGATGCTCACGGTATCAAGAATCGTGACTTCGCGTCGCGTGAAAACAAACCTTTACGCCTTGGAGTTTTCTCTCCGCTTCACTTTCTCGACTCAGAACAGTCACTTGGTATTGGTATTGTGTGCGGCGAACCCCGCGGGTTTATGTGTGTATCCATGGTTTCGTGTGACGGGGTACAAAAGCAGCTCTGTGTCCCATTCCTTAACCCTCAGGAGGTTTAAATCGACAGATTTTACTAGCCTGTTGAAAAGAATGCGTAAACTTTCGTCGATAAGATTTTCATTTTCTTTAGGAAATCGATCTATCATCTATCACAGAAGGTTCCTATTAATCCTTTAGCCAAGAAAAATGGTCCGTGATGCAAGAATTTATTTTGTATTTTTTAATTTCTAAATAAATGGATAGATATACTGTTTCGAAAGTTGATCGAGTTTTGAAGTTGTAACAGTTTATGTGACATTAATTTTTAGTTTCCACGAGTGTGCGTTGAAATAATATACAGGATTGCAATCACTCCGTTCTTGTTTACAAAACTGCTCCATTTTTTCTCTAAAGTTTCTCTATTTTTCTATAAAACCACGTCGAGATGATAATTCATCATCGACGTATGCATTTTTCTCTTTACATTTCATTGATGCATTTCGGTTAACATATTTAATTATAGCTCACCATGAAAAAGTATGTACATTTTCTTCAAGCACAAAAAAATAAGTATACGAAATTTTAAAAGGTTGTTATCAGCGGTGTTCGAGTAAAAAATTCAAGAATTTCCTTTTTGCAAAGTTCTAGAGTATAGGACCTCTTCAGTGTCGCTCTCCTTCCCTTGCTTCCTCATCTATAACTCTTCTTCGTTTTCCCGTGGGATTCTCGGTTCGAAAGAAAAGCGCGAACTCGGAAACAGAGTTCGTGATCCTCTTCTGGATGGATTTCGGCAAAGATGGCGTGGGAGGATCAAAGGGGCCGCACTGTCCAGCTGTTACACGGTTGCTTAAGTGGCCGGATAGGTGAAGACTCGAGCGTTTCGACATGTGTAGAAACACGACACACGATACTTCCTACAAGGACCTCCTACCGTGGCTTGTTCATCTGATTGAGATTTATGACACGATCGCCCCCGAACGAGACCGCAACGCGCTTGTTGCTCTCGATCACTTTTGGCGCAACAAGTAAATAAATTTCGCGTCACTATTTATAGTTCGCGGCGCTATTTAATTCATACTTTTTCCTACTCGTCCGTCCTCGCAGACCGGTGATTATTCATCCCGTAATTGGACCTTCTCGTGTATTTTATTTTCAAGTCGTGTTTGTACTTATTCTCACTAGGAATACCTCATCCGCGCATTGAAGTCGCTGCCTCAGTAAAAAGCGACGAGGTAGATGTCTTCAAATACAATATCATTGTACACACAGTTTATAATTTAGCGTTTGTAAGTTATTCGGAACAATCTCATCGTTAAGTCTGTCAGCACCCTACTATTGCGTTTCTA